CAACTACAGATTAAAAGATTCTCAAAGTATAATATACACACAGTAATATGTACACATCAGAAGTGTACACCCAGATCGAGAAACAGGATTTCCCTGGAAACCCCCTCTTGCTACTCCCAGCCACATCTCCCTTGGAGCCAGTGAGTGGTTCCTATTGGCAGTGCCTTCCACATACAATGCCACATTGTAATTACTTTTTATTTGGTGCAAAAAACATTAATTTATTTTAATCTTCGTACAAAAAGCTGTAGGGAGTAAGCTGGCAAATACTCTGCTGTGGGCTGGTAGTTTGTGACTCCTATCTTCAAGGCTACTGTAAAAACAATTACATGCCTTTATATTAACCTTGTGGTTAATTAGCCATAACCTGACTTCTAATAGCATACCCCTTATTTTTAAATGAGCATTTATTGACACATAATGGAAAGGTGCACAAATCTTAAGCACTGAGCTTGATCAACACCCAGAGGAGCAGCAGGCAAGTATTTTGCTCAAAGTTACACAGCCAATCGGTGGGAGGCCAGGGCTGGACCCCAGGTGGCCCAAGACCCTGCCTGGTGACAGAGAAGCAGTTGGGATTTCAGTAGGCACTCTGCCCCTATCCTTGCCTCCATTTTCTTTCACTTCCTGTCGGTGAATCCCTGTGAGCCCCTCAGCTGCCCTGCCTCCTGAGAGGAGCCCACAGCATCCTGCAGGTCTGTGGGCTAAAGCCAGGGACATGCTTATGTTTGCCTTCTGTGTACCAGGATAGGTGTCATGTTAACGCTTGTAGCATCTCCCAGCAAAGTCCCTGTGGCTGGAATTCTAATCCTGTGGCAAGAAGAAAATGCCTTTCCTAAAGAAGGAGGGAAACCAAGATTTGCCATGTGCGTATTGAGAGCCCGGCACGGCCAGCCGGTTAGTGCCTTCTTCCTTGTGTTTGCAGTAAGGAAACGGGACTCTGAGAACTTGCCCAAACTCCCCCAGCAGGGAGTGAAACCTGGTTCCATCTAGTCTGGTGGGTCCACCCACCTAGGTAAACTATCACATTCCTCAGCTCTGATTTTTCATTCCTGCCCTGTCCTTGGTCCTCAAGTGAGGTCTTTGTTAGGGAGGTAAGATGAGTCGCCATGGTGAGTTGTGACCTCCAAGGGGTTGCTCTGATTTCATCAGGGAGGTGGCTGTACAGAAACAAAGATCAGCTTCTAGCCCGACCCTGCCTTTCACTCACTTTCCCTCTCAGGCCCCCATGGCCTCATCTGGGAAACCCAGGTGTTAGAAATAAGATAACCTCCGTGTAGGGTTGCCAGATTTAGCAAACAAAAATACAGGATGCTCGTTTAAGTTTGAATTGCAGATAAATGATGACTAACTTTCAGTATGAGTATGTTCCATGCAATAATTGGGCGTCCTGTATTTTATCTGACAACCTTTTATCTACAGCCACTTCCAGCTCTAGATTTTGTGATTCACCCCAGGAAAGTTTATGTCACACTCTAGACACCAACATTTATGATCCACAAAAGTCGTAACTGAAGGGAACCAGCAGACCTTAGTGCCAGAATTCTAAGGACAGGGTCCTTCCAGTGGTTCTCGTGTCTTTAGCAGGCAGTGCTACATCTTAATCACTTTTTACATTGTGCAAAGAACACGTGAGTGTACTTTTCTCTTTGCATTGAAAACCTGTAGGCAGTGAGCTGGCAAGCACTTACTGCTGTAGGCTGGTAGTTTATGGCTCCTATCTTCAAGGCTGCTTGTAAAAACAGTAACAGACAACATGGCCAAGTGTGTCCTTCCCCCTGGAGGTGTTCATGGTTTTAGAGAGGGCTCTGTGGTGTCCAAAGCAGCAGATAGATATTCATCTATCTCCCCACAGCTCAGGGGAGGGGCAGACCCCTGCAGGAGGAAGTAAGTTTTTGTCATTGTCTGTCTCTGTCACCAGAGAGGATCCTGTTGTGGCCATTTGTCGGTAGAGAGATTTTTATGCCCGGGTGCAAGAAAGAACCTGTTCTACTTCAAGCTGTTGTGCAGATAATTAACAATCTGATATTTTGAAGGGAACATAAACAGCCCAATTCAACATGAAAGGGAGGTTTTTCACACTCCTGCAAATGTGTGAAAGAGAGAGAACATTTATACCTAAACTAACAGTTCTCATGGACCTGACTGCTCTAGTACCATCTTGCCAAGTTAAGGGGCCCCGCCCATTAAATATTTATTCTCTAATTTCAGAACTGTGTATCTTTGTAACAAATTCAAACAATGAAGAACCATAGCATATAGAATGATATAATACTGAAATGTGCAGTGAGAATGGCTTGAGCTTACTAACACTTGACCCCTCAGAGCTCCATTCCCTCAACCGTAAAATGGAGACTGAGATGATGTTTCTGTCTTAGGGTGTTGTTAGTGTTCAGTGGAGTCATTTCTATAATGAACTCTGCCCAGGACTTGGCCTCTTGAAAGCATTAGCTTGGTATCTGTCAGCTGTTATTGTCATGATGACTGTGAAGTTTAAGGTAAGAGTAGCCCCACTCCCCACAGTTAGGTGTCTGTCTGGATTCTGTTCAGATCCCTCCTTTCCAAACATCTCAGCCCACTTACAGGAAGGGCCCTCTCCATTAAAAGCATCTGTAGCCTCTGCTGGGCGCTGGCCCTCCTCCTGGCAGCCCTGATCACAAAGGGAGTGAGTAAGGCCCTTCCACACTCCCAAGTAAATCACCCCTGGGAGCGCAGCACTTCCTCCTTATATAACAGGCCACACCACAGATCGCCTTAGGGACCATATTGTGGGGTGGCCCCTGGGGGGGGAGGTCTTCTAATGCAATGCCCTCGCAGGAGTAATTCAGCAGTAATATTACAATAGTGACAGTGATGATGGCAGGGACAACTGTCCCAGGTCCTGTCCTGGAAGCTGGGGGAAAGATGCCTGTTCTACAGATGAGGACACTGAGCACCTCAGACATAGAAAGGGATATGCCTTGCCTAAGGTCACACAGCTTCTCCACATGCCTGGTCCTTCCTTATTCCTCTCAGCCACTCCCGGGCCCACTGCCTTTGTTGTGTCCTTGTGGGGAGCAGAAGCACCGAGTTGAGAGTGTTACAGCAATGTGAGCAGTGTGCATTGGGAGAAAAGTTGGGCTGTGTCAGCTCTCCATTTGGGAATTTCAGAAATCTGAACTGGAATTGCTACACATAGGCGTGACTCCGCGATGTGATGTTTGCCTGACCCCGGTATAGCTTCTTGTCCCTCAGTTTTCCCAGAATCCAGGCTGGGGCCACTCCCGGGTCCTCATCTTTTTGATTTCTTCCTCTTGTCCTCCCTTCCCTCCTTCCTTCCCTGAGTGTTTTGAAAGAGGTATTTTTAAAGTTACAAGACAACTTTGGGGACAAGACCTATCAATTCAGGACAACCCTCTGGGACGTGGCGCTCCTGGCACAGCGTAACATAGAGCCTTGCCCGGGCCAGAGCCCTGGTCTCTGGAATGTGCTTGCAGCCACATCAGAGAGGTTCTAGGACAACTGGATCTGATGCACAAAACCGCACCCTGTGTGCAGCTGCTCGGAGGCAGTGGCGGTGGGCACAGAGGAGATGTCACCTATCGAGTGCTCTGTCTGCTTCTCTTTCCTTCGTCAGCTTCTCTCAACATAGTTTGAAGCTTACAGAAAAGTTGCAAGAACGCGGAGAGCTCCCGTGCATTTTGCACGAGACCCAAGCATTTAGCCACATTTGCTTTATCGGCTTTCCGTACATACCTGTGCATGTTATGATTTTCTGGCTGAACCGTTCCAGAGTTAAGTTACAGAGACGATGACCTTGACCCCAAACACTTCAATATGTGTTTCCTAAAAGCAAGGACCCTCTTCCAGAACACAGTACAGTGATCAAATCAGGTAACGGAGCATTGGCCCCACGCTGTCACCTGATAGATGGTTATCTTTCCTTTGACGATTTTCATCTTTCAGACACAGAAATGGGTAATGAGCTCCGCGTTTCCCGGTTTCAGCAGCAGACAGCATCCGCCTGTCTTCGTTGTAGATCTGCCCTGCGCCCTGCGCTACTGCCACTGTTGTTTTTCTGGAGTATTTTGCAGCAAAGTCCTGACATCGCTTCATCTGCGAGGACTTCAGCATAAATCATTCAAACCCTGGGATGGCACGTGTTGTAAAATCTCTTGGGTGGGCTGTGACTAGCACTTAGAGAGGCGAGGATAGACTATAAAACCGTGGTAGGCCATGCACAGCGTGTGTGGATGGCGGTGATGTTAAGTGTCTTTATTACAGTGGCCATCGTGGGTCCTGGGTTTATTCGTTGATGATCAGGGCTGCAGGACCCCTGGGCAGGAGAGGGAGAGAGACGAGGAGGAGTGGGAGAGAGATGGAAGTAAGGTCTGTGCCACCACCCACCTGAAAGCTCCCTGTTTGAAAGCGTAGAGTCCAAAGTGCTGGGCTTGAACCCTGGCCCTGCCACTTGCTATCCATATGACTTTGTACAAGTTAACTAACCTCTCTGTGCCTCAGTTTCCTCGTCTGTGAAGTAGGGATAGGAACAGTCCCAACCTTATGGGGCCGTTGTGAGGATTAACTGACCGTGAATCTCTGTCAAGGGGCTCTGCCCAGTGCCGGGCACACAGTGAATGCTCAGGAAGGGTGCCCGCTGTTCCTACAGGCCGAGTCTTGGGCTCTCTCTTCCTCCAGCCCTAGCCCCTCCTCTTCCCCTCAGGAAGGATACACTTTCCTTACCATCTCATCCTGCACATTAGAATCCCTAAGGAAGCTTTTAAAAAATCCGTGGGCTGGGCCACACCCCAGGCCAATTACCCTGGAATCTCTGGGGTGGGCCCGAGGGATTGGTACTTTTAAAAAGTATTTAGGCAATTCTGATGCACAGGGAAGATGTGGTGCTTGGTGCTGCTCCATTGGTAACGAGCATCCCGTAAGTCTTTTCTAAATGCAACTCCTGAACCTCCAGGTGGGGTGGGGCCTGAGAGCCTGCATCTCTCACGAGCTCCCGGTGGTGTCCACGCTGCTGGTCCAGACCTCACCCTGAGGAGCGAGGCCCTGGAGAAAAGGCCCCGCTGGAGACCACTTAACCTGCCTTCCCTCCATCGCCATCCTAAATAATAGCAGCTGACACTTCTTGGGCTTCTGCTCTGTGCCTGGCACAGAGTGAAGCCCTTTGACAGCCATCACCTCCCCGCATCCAGTCCTCGCTGCTACTCGATGAGTCTGTGAGTGCATCACTCCCATTTTAAAGATGAGGAAAGTGAAGTCTGAGATGGTTAAGGAACCCGCCTGCTGTCGCCTGGCTTTTGTCCCGGACTGGAGAGCTACCGTTCCGGTGCCTGCTCCTAAGCGGGAAATGCTTCCTTTTGTAAACGGCTATCCTGAGTTTGTCCTCATCGGTGTCTGTCTCTCTCTCTCTCAGTATCTTTCTGTCTCCTCTCTCCCCTCTTCCCTCTGCAGTCCGTCTCCTAGTGCATGTCTCCAGTTCACCCCACAAATCCAACCTGACTAAAATTAAAGCCTTTATCCTGGCCCATCCTGGGGTCCCTCCATCTCCCAAGCCTGTGTATCACCCGGACTTCCAGCTGCTTCTTCCTCCCACTGTCTTTGAAGTTCAGGCTTCACAATTTCTGGCCCAGAGCAGAGCTTCTCTGACCTTAACAAGCTCATGGATCCCGGGGGACCTTGTTAAAATACCGATTCTGGCTCAGTGCATCTGGGTGGGCCTGAGATGCTGCATTGCTAACAAGCTCCCAGGGGTGCGGCACGGCCCGTGTAGGAAAGGCCTGGTAGACCCTGGTGTTTCCTAGCTGGCGCCTGGCCTGCACAGCCTCCTAGGATGCAGACTTCTCTGACCTTAACAAGCTCATGGATCCCAGGGGACCTTGTTAAAATACCGATTCTGGCTCAGTGCATCTGGGTGGGCCTGAGATGCTGCATTGCTAACAAGCTCCCAGGGGTGCGGCACGGCCCGTGTAGGAAAGGCCTGGTAGACCCTGGTGTTTCCTAGCTGGCGCCTGGTCTGCACAGCCTCCTAGGATGCTGCACGGTACCTGAGAATAACCTCTGAACCCTGAAGCCCCCAAGGCCTAGCTCATCTTTGCCTCTCTACATCCTATTCCTGCCGCTACTTCCCACCCTCTGGTTCCTCCTGTGGACCATGCCCTTCTCGTCCTCTGGACCTTTGCACATTCTGTTTCCAGGGCCTAAAAGGCTGTTCCCTGCTTGGCCCACTCCTGCCCATTTTTAGGGACATGGTCCCCGGGCCTCCCAGGCTGGGGCAGGAACCCTCCTTCGTCTTGCTGGCCTCAGTCTGCTTCCCCTGGGCTCACCATGCCTCTCTCTGGGCTGGTCGGCTTGTCTTTCTCTCCCACTAGTCTGAACAACATAGATTCAGGTGTGGTGCCCTGTTTGGCCTTGTGTCCACCTTTGTGGAGTCCTCTTTGACATCAGATGCCAGGATGAGGAATGTGTGGAGGATCGGGCTGGGAGGTTGGGAGGTCTGACCCCAGGGGATAAGGTGGTATAGGGAGGGTGGGGAACATCCAAGAATGGTTGGCAAGCCAGAGCTTCCCTGTTAGCATCACCTGCCTTAGATCCCAGCCTCCGTGCAGGAGAAGCAGGCCATGGATTTCAGAGCGCTGGGGCCCTGTGACACCTGTGTCAGAGATCGGAGAGGTGCTTCTCATGGCCACCCTCTACCTCTCCCCCTTATCAGCATGGCACACGGGCCTCCCTGTGGATAAGAGGGTGAGCTCCCCACGAGCTCCCCACCATCAGCCTCTCAAAGCCTTAAAGAGCCCTCCAAAGAGCCTCTCTTTCCCAGGAAGGCCTGCAGAGCCTTGAAAGCCCCTGTGGGGTAGGCTCCAGCCGGGGGTCAGGGCAGTCCTGGGTTCAGATCCCAGCTCCACTCTCATAGTAAGCTGGGTAGCCTTTGGTAGGCAATGCTGCTTCTCTGAGCCTTGATTTCCACATCTGTAAAATGGAGACAGTAATAGTGCCCCACAGGGTCGTTGCAGAGGATTGAGTGTCAGGAGCACACAGGTGCTTGAGCACTGTCAGCTGCTGCCTCTCTTTAGTTCACTGATAGCACTAAAGATGCATCACGTTGCAGGAAGATCGTGGGAACACTGGCTGAGACTATTTTAATGCCCGTGAACTGGAGACTACGAGCCCCTTATGGCTTAATCCGTTAGATCTCCAAAGAATCTGCATTTTAAAAAGGGCACTCATCATGGCGGGCTTTGGGGCACCTCCTAAGCCTAGCCTGAGGGTCTTCACATCTTGAAGTCAGCCGTCTTCGGCCCCTAAAAGGCCAGGTGGTGCGGGTGCCTCATTGTCAGCCCCCGACCACACCCTCACCTTCAACTTTACCCGCTGACCTGACCGCAGCCAGCCTCCAGTATATTTAGCTTTGAGGCGCCTGAAAGTTTTTTCCGACAGCACAGACTCAGCTTTGAGCAAATTCAGCCCAGATGTAGTCAGCAGGCGCCGCGACCTGGAGGCTGGAGGCCGTGGTTTCTCTCCCCGCTGCTTCCTGTTGTGCACCCATCAGGGCCCCGGGGGTGGGGGCCTGAACACACGTGGCCAATATAAACAAGCCTCTCCTTTCTCCGCAGGCTGCAGAGGCGCCGACATGGGGCTTAAGCTGTCCTGTCTGAAAGGTAAGGTGGGCGGCTCTCCTCCACCAGCTCTTCTGTGGGTGGGTGTGGGGTGGGGACTGAGGGGGGAGGGAAGGAACGAGGCAGGAGAGGGTGTGAGGGTAGACCCGGAGACCCGAGTGTTGCTGTCCTGCAGAGGGAGGGGCAATCCCACTTAGGCAGCACCCGTACACAGTAGGCGCCCTATAAATGCTTGCTCTGACTCTGAGGGCTCCTCCTGACCTTCCCTTCCCTTTGTTGAGTGACATAGGAAAGTTGCAGCGCCCCTTGGGCCTCAGTTTCTCCCTCAGAGGGATTAATCCCAGGCTGTGGAGCGTAAGGGAGTAAGAGGTCCTAGACGTAGGTGCCAGGCACGCTCAGGGTGTTTGCTCTCTGCCCCACCGGCCTGTTATCACCAAGATAGGAGGTCAAGCCTGGCAGGCCTGGGGAAGGCAGGCCGGGAGAGGGGAACGGCCAGCAGGGAGAAAGTTCTAGGACACAGAATCTCTGAAGGGTGTTTTAGGTGTTGGCGGCGGCAGCCCAGACCTCTGTCTCGTGCTCTAGACCTTTCTGTCCAGCATCGCCCAGCGCCTCAAGGTCACCCAGATCAATATGGCCTACATGGAGACCTCCCCTCAAGGCCCATTATTTCGTGACAAATGCTCCCACCCCACAGCTCCCCAGCCTGAAATCTGGGAGTTGCCCTGGATGGCCCTGCCTCTTCTCCTGGATGCTTGAGGCATGCCCCTGGCTCCATCCCTCTGCCACAGGAAGTCAGGAGGCATGGGAAGGTCGGGCCAGACTGAAGGACCACCCTTCAGGTCCCAGGCTGGGGTGAGTGAGCCCAGCGGAGCGTATCTGGTTGGTCTAGCTCACCCTCACTGGGATGTGAGGGGGTGGAGCATCTTGACGGACAGCTCGTCCAAGACCACATGCAAATGGGAAGCAGTGGTCTCCCTGGAGAAAATCAGGCTGTCTTTTGCAGAGTAGGGATGGGGTATTGGAGGATCGTGAACAATCCACATCCTTCCGGGTCCAGGTCTCTCTGAGGCTCCAGACTGAGCCCGCTCAGGAGTTGGAGGTGTTTGTTGAGCGAGCATCCATGGGGGTGGAGGTCTCTAGGTTGGCTCCCAAGACTGAACTTTAGAGCTCCAGGACTCTCACCCTTGGACTTCGCTGGCAGTTTTCCCTGTGCCCTACACAGAGTAGGTGGTCAGTACAAACTTTTCGTTTTGGTTTTTATTGTGGTAAACTGTAATACATAACAAATATGCATAACAAGATTTATCGTTTTAACTCTATTTAAGTGTACAGTTCTGTGGCATTAAATACATTTACCATTGTTGTGCAACCATCACCACCATCCATTCCCAGGACTTTCTCATCTTCCCAAACTGAAACTGTGCCCATTCAGTACTAACTCCTCATTTCCCTTCCCAAGCCCCTGGCAGCCACCATGCTACTTTCTGTCTCTATGGAGCTGACTACTCTAGGGACCTCTCATAAGTGGAATCATACAGTATTTGTCTTTTTGTGGCTAGTTGATTTCACTCAGCACAATGTCCTCAAGGCCCACCCATGTCGCAGCATGTGTCAATGCTTTATTCATTTTTATTTTATTTATTTGTTTGTTTGTTTGTGCCTACAGCACCTGGTCTTCGTAGGTGGTCTTCCATCCAAGTACTAACCAGGCCCGACCCTGCTTAGCTTCCGAGCTCAGACATTGGGCTTGTTCAGGGTGGCATGGCCGTAGACCATGGACCGTGGCTCCACTGGGCCGCGAACGCTTTATTCCTCTTTAAAGCTGAGTAATATTCCATCGTGTATGTAGACCACATTTTGTTCATTCATCTGTCGATCGACACTTGCATTGCTTCCACATTTTGGCTTTTGTGTCAAGACATCTTTGAGAAATAAATCAAGTCCCTGGAGGAACCTCTGGGGCCACCTATCTATCTTCCAGCCCCAGGCTGGGCTGGTCAGCCTGGGAAGAGACCCAGGAACGGCATATACTGAAAGTTCCTGGGAGATTACCCACACACACACACCCCACCCAGGACCGAAAGCCCAGGCAGCAGGCTGAGTGCTCCTAGGGCTGAGAGCTTCTAAAAGGGCTTTCTTCCGGACTGAGCCCTGGAGGAGCTAAGTGCTGGATGGGAGCCTGCAGGGCCAAGGTTTGCTCATACATTTTTCATTGCTAGCTCTCTGGGGCCAGCCCACCAGCCCAGGCTGCCAGCCCTCCACCTACCCCCCCCCAGCCCCTCCCCCCACTCTGCTTTGGCCAAAACAGACGTAAGCGTGACTTGGGGCAGGGAGGGAGTCAGGGCACAGAACCCTTTTCTCTGTACTTAACCAAGACAGCCCAGGACTGCCAGTCCCGATGCCCCAACACCCCAGACCTTCGTCTGCGAGCCTTATTTTCACTTTCTCCGTCAGGGGTATGTCACATCCGAGGAAACCTCAGCGCACTGGGTACCTGCCCCGTAGCCCTGCATCCCTCATAGCTATCCGTGTGCCTTCTCTCACCTGGCTCCTCGGAGGCGTGGTTTTACTTGATTGTCAGTGCTGGCACGTGTAGTTCTGTGCACTTTTCTTTCTTTCTTAGTCAATGTTTGGGTCCGTTTGCTGTCTTTCCCAAGGCAGTATCATTTTCATAGTTCTTTACTGCCCGTGTCAGATTCTGTCAAGAGCTGGTCTTTGGGTTGTTTCCAACTTGTTGATTTTGTAGATAATGCCATTTTGAACATCTTTGCTTTCTGATTTTGTAAATTATTATTTCTTTGGGATAAATTCCAGCAATCAGAATGCAGGTCAAATAATCAGGATAAATGGTGGATTCTTATTGGAGGGTTAGCCCGGGCGAGGACCCTCTCTGCACTGGATGTGGGTGACTCATCTGTCCCTCCTCCCGCCTCAAGGTGGATGCTATTGTAATTCCCAGTTTCCAGGTGAGGAAGCTGAGGCACCAAGAGACACTGCAGTTTGTCTGGAGCCACATGGCTGGTTCCCTTAAGGAATCTGAACCCAGGCAGGCTGGTCCCTGAGGTCTGGCTTCAGCTACCACCCCTGCAGCCTCTTCAGAGGAAAATATTTTAATTCTACATTTAAAGTAGCCATTGTACCCAGAAACTTTATCCACATGAGCTCTTAAATCTTTACATTAATGTTCTAAGATGATATTTAGTGTCCTAGGGCCGCAGTAACAAATAACAGAAACTTGGGCACTGTGGGAACGGAGGCTTAAAATAACAGAAATGTATTCTCTCCCAGTTCTGGAGAGCAGAAGTTCTAGATCGAAGTGTCACAGGGCCGTGCTCCCTCTGAAGGCACTTGGAGAGGATCCGTCCTGCCTCTTCTGGCTCCTGGGGGCTCCAGGCGTCTCTTAGCTTGTGGCCCCATCAGCCCAATCTGTTCTCTGTCTTTACATGGTATTCTCCCCTGTGTCCCTGTATCCTTCCTCTTATAAAGACACCAGTCTTTGGACTTAGAACCAGCCTTAAATCCAAGATGATCTCACCATGGGATCCTTAGCTGTTTGCATCTGCAAAGACCTTATTTCCAAATAAGGTCATGTGCTGAGGTTCTGGGTAGACATGAACTTCGAATTTGATAGGAACTCGTTCAACCCCGTACAGGTCACTTCACCTCTGAGCCTCCTGTGTGTGGGACAGGAATGTGTTTGACCTGACTGGCAGTACAGACTGGGCCCAAGGTCATGAGGGAGGGACGCTGAAGGGAGAAACAGAGCTATGCCGAAATCCTTTTGTTTCTGGTTGCAAAGGAGAGTGAGCACAGCCGTGTGCTTGAAGTGGGGTCTTTCTGCTCCAGGGCGTGGCCATAGCAGCTGTGACATGTGGGAACATCCCACTGTCCAAGAGCACCTCCCTCCCTCATGCCCTTTTGTATACAGGCTGGCAGATGCTGGGAGGGCGTCCCCGTGAGCACGGCACTGCCCCCTAAATGTTTGCCCTCCGTTTGCTCATTTCATCCTCACTACAGCTGGACGGCGAAGGTAACTTTACAGACGAGGAGACTGAGGCACAGAGGGGCTCTTGATGGTGCCAGGTCAACAGCTGGTCAGGAGGGGCGGTGGTTTCCCTGGTTTGTAAGAACCATTCTCTCACGGTCAGCAGCAAGGTGGCCCTTCTCAAGAAACAGCATGGTGGAGCCTAGTGGTTCATAGTGTGGTCCCCAGACTTGCACCCTGAGCATCAGCTGGGAAGAAGCCAGGCGTGTGAATTCTCAGGACCCACCCGAACCTACGAGTCAGAAGCTCTGGGGGTTGTTAACAAATCATAAGCTGGTTCTGGTACAGGCTCAAGCTTGAGACCCCTCTGGGCTTTGGGACCCCTGAGTGGTTAAGTGGCTCTGAGGTCAGAGAGATCCAAGGTCAAGTCTCAGTCTGCCCCCGACTAACTGCAGCTTCATGCAAATCACTTCACCTGTCCAAGCCTCAGTTTCCCCACCTGTAAAATGCAATGATGAGTGGGAATATCTCCTGGGCCAGGTTTCTAGGGACGTCTGAGATGAGGATTAACGCTGGTGTCTAATGAGCAGGGTTTCCCGTCCACACTGGTCCTTTGCACCTCTCCACTCTGATGGCAGCTCCAGGTGTGTGGGGACCTCCACGGGAAAAAGTTAAACTGGAGGTGCAGGTTCCCCACCAGGGCCATCTCGGGGGGATGGTGTGGTCTCTGGGGCTCCCTGGAGGATGCCAGCTCCTGAGGCAGGGCTGGCCCCAGCCAGCCAGCCTTCTGGGCAGCTTGGGACAGGCAGGAAAGGGCTAGAAGATAGAGACCTTGTCCTAGGTTGGTGGTTGGTTTATTTGTTTATAGACTTTGTTTTTTATTGAAAAAATGCGAGTAGTGCAGAGCTCCCATATACCCCCAGCCACCTTCCCCAAGTTAACATCGTACGTTCGTGTGGGGCGTTCATTACAGTTACTGAATCGGCACAGGTGTATTATTTGAACTCAAGTCTATACTCTTTTCAGATTTCCTTTGTTTTTACCTAATGTCCTTGTT